TATACTAGTCTTTTGTCACGGAAGGTATTGATAATTATACAAAGAGAAAAGAGATAGAGTTAGACATCCTTGTTAATAAAAGAAAGAACTGCTTTGACATCACGCAAATGCAGCGTATGTCCGGATGAATTTGCAGTACATGTGTGTATTAGGCAGGCAAAAATGACAAATGAGCTTATACATAATTTCGCGTACATTTTGGCTGGCATTATATATAAAGCAGTTGTGTTTGAAAAACAGGTAGTATCACAGTAGTGACTCTTTTATAACATGATTATGGGTTTTAACGTAAGTATAAATTTGTTATTATTTGTTCCTATCCCGACCGAAGCCTCCATGTGTGCCCTTCCAATAGTTTTGTATAGCCGAATATTGTATAGGGTGCGTTTTCTTGAAAATCTAATCTTAACTTCCATATATTTTTAATAGAAATGATTAAAATAGAGAAAAACGGAATCCCTAAAGAACGCCAAAAACGAGTAAGTTGAAAATGGTTTGATCGAGCCTGTTCATTGACGCTACTGTAAAATGCGAGTTACCGTCTAAGCTCCCTAGCACCGGGTTAAGGTGACTTTCTCTATGTTTTCCAACTGAATGACACGAACATAGACCCATTTAATGTATTTCAGTTAAATATATTTTAAAGAAAGCGTTGTTTACTTTATAGTAAAATATTTATCCAAATACCAAAGCAAACCGTTGTATAGTTGCAAATAAGCTGTTTGTTCTCGTTACGTTCCCATTGAAGCAAAATAAGCAAACCATAAAAGAATACATGTTTTTAAGAGTGAGATACTGACATTATAAAACATAATATTTACGTAAGATCCTATTAAGTTCGCGTGCGCGTGGGTGTACATTTATTTGTACTAGTATCTTGCGTGTGTACATGTGAAAAAGGATAATATTTCCAAATCCGTTTGCTTTTTGAAAGGGTATTTTACAAAGACTTCGATGCTATTTTTAGCTCGACTTTTTTTTTTTTGAAAAAAAAAGTAGAGGTATTGTTATAGTCAGGTCGGCGTTGCCGTTGCCGTTGCCGTTGCCGTCTCCGTTGCCGTTGCCGTTGCCGTTGCCGTCCGAAAACTTGTACCTGGATCATAACTTTTTTATTTCTTGGTGTATTGTCTTCATACTTGGCCACAACAACCCTTGGGACAAGACCTTTCAGTAGACCACACTAACCTTGACCTTCATCCATAAATGACCTTGACCTTCAAGGTTAAAAGTCCAATTTTTGCTTGTTCATGCTGTTATTGGCTGTTACTTTGTTATTTTTGAATGGATTGTCTTCAAACTTGAACATAATAATCTTCAAGGATATCCCTTAAAAATAACCAGTCAGACCTTGACATTCACTCATCAATGACCTTGACTTTGAAGGTCAAATTATTGAAATTTTCATTTTTTTGGCTATTATTGGCTGTAACTTTGTTATTTTTGAATGGATTGTCTTCAAACTTGAACATAATAATCTTCAAAGATAACTGTTAAAAATATACCGAAAGACCTTGACCTTCACTCATTAATGACATTGCCTTTGAAGGTCAAATTATTGAAATTTTCATTGTTTTGGCAGTAACTGACTGTAACTTTGCTATTTTTGAAGGGATAAACTTCATATTATAACAGAACATTCTTAAGGACCAGACCTTGTTGTTTATCAAACCCAAATTTGCTTGGGCTCTTTAATGACCTTGACCTTGAAGGTTATATTACTGAATTTTCTCAGATTGTGCATTTATCGGTGTGTGTGTATGTATAGTATATGTATTATATATAAATATATATATAAATGTGTGTGTGTATATATATACATATATGCAGGTATATATATATATATATATATATATATATATATATATATATATATATATATATATATATATATATATATATATATATATATATATATATATATATATATATATATATATATATATATATATATATATACATATATAGATATATATATATATATCAAATATATATATATATCAAATATATATATATATATATATATATATATATATATACATATATATACATGTATATAATTGCGTCATGTTTTTCTATTTTTAGAAATTGCGTCATTTTTTCTATTTTTAGAAATTGCGTCATTGTTGCTATTTTTAGAATTTGCGTCATTTTTTTTTCTATTTTTAGAAATTGCGTCATTGTTGCTATTTTTAGAAATTGCGTCATTTTTTTCTATTTTTAGAAATTTCGTCATTTTTGTTCTATTTTTAGAAATTGCGTCATTGTTTCTATTTTTAGAAATTGCGTCATTGTTTCTATTTTTAGAAATTGCGTCATGTTTTTCTATTTTTAGAAATTGCGTCATTTTTTTTCTATTTTTAGAAATTGCGTCATGTTTTTCTATTTTTAGAAATTGCGTCATTTTTTTCTATTTTTAGAAATTGTTTCATTTTTTTTCTTTTTTTAGAAATTGCGTCATGTTTTTCTATTTTTAGAAATTGCACATTTTTTCTATTTTTAGAAATTGCGTCATGTTTTTCTATTTTTAGAAATTGCGTCATTGTTGCTATTTTTAGAATTTGCGTCATTTTTTCCTATTTTTAGAAATTGCGTCATTTTTTCTATTTTTAGAAATTGTGTCATTGTTGCTATTTTTAGAATTTGCGTCATTTTTTCCTATTTTTAGAAATTGCGTCATTTTTTCTATTTTTAGAAATTGTGTCATTGTTGCTATTTTTAGAAATTGCGTCATTTTTGTTCTTTTTTTTTTTTAGAAATTGCGTCATTTTTTCTATTTTTAGAAATTGCGTCATTGTTGCTATTTTTAGTAATTGCGTCATTTTTTTCTATTTTTAGAAATTGCGTCATTGTTTCTATTTTTAGAAATTGCGTCATTTTTTTCTATTTTTAGAAATTGCGTCATTGTTTCTATTTTTAGAAATTGCGTCATTTTTTTCTATTTTTAGAAATTGCGTCATTGTTGCTATTTTTAGAAATTGCGTCATTGTTGCTATTTTTAGAAATTGCGTACTGTTGCTATTTTTAGAAATATGCTTAATGTTTCTATTCATATATATACAAAATATATAAACAAAACTAATGTGACAAGACAGACCAACTAAATTTATAAAAAGGAAACATCAATATATGTTCAAACCTTTCTATGTTTGCGTTTAGAAAAAGTAAAAAGTCGAGCGTTGCCCCCGCCCGGCGGTGGCTCTTGTTATCATAAATGTTATGATATAAATGGTATTACTATTTAAAGGGAGGACATTTCTATTTCAATTCAATACGTTTACAGCCTACTAAATTGAGGTGAATGAAAGTTTAAAAACGGAATAATTATCTGATATCTACATCTTCCATAGCTTGCTATCGGCATTCTCACCCTCTTTTAAAGTTCAAACATCTGCAAAGCCATATACATGTATCAGAATGTCGATACAGACAGAACATCTGTCAAAAATGCATTTCGTATCAGAAAAAAATCATTACCATGTAATAACAAGAAAAAGTGATGTGGTCGTCTCGTTGAAGGTTTGTTTTCTATTAACATTCAAGATGTTAAATGGTATACATGATTGCTCTTTCGATTTTCATTTGTTTGAAAATGACCATTGAAATATTACTAAAGTTGTTAATCAATAAAGTTTATTACAAAGCCACTACAAAAATATTCATATTGACACGATCATTTGGTTATTTACAAATCATTAAAACAATAATTTTCATTCATGAAAACAACATTATAACAAAACTACTGTTTCGCAGACAACACTAATGCTGAAATCGGATAATAATGGATATAAGTAAGTTCTTACATGAGAGTAAAATGAAGTTTTATATTCTTGGATTAGAATCCTGATATTTTACATAATTTCACACCTTAAAAATATAACCAATGTACTTCCGGCATTTAAACCACATGATGTTCCAGTCTCAGCAATTTAGCCCCGTTTCCAAACAAAATCATATCAAATGCATATCGGATCCTTTACAGTCTCAGTTCCATTGTCATAGTTTAAAATATCTCTATTGAATGTATATCTTACTTTATCTAGCCTCGGTTTCGTTTACGAGACAAAGATTCATATCAAATATCCTTATTGTATTTTATGTTAGAAAGTTCTCTGTCAAAATATAAAAAATGATGGTGTAAAATAAAATAAAGGGGTCATTATACGCTTTTGAGAACAATACCGATTATATTGGACTCGTACACAGCTGGAAAACATATATAAGTCTAAGCTTGCTCCTCGTTCAAGACGTATTTGACAGGTTTACTGGTCCAATAGAATTCATTATTGTATTCAACAATGTATAATAACCTTATATTTTTAACATGAATATAGATATACGTTGCAGGAAATATTAAAATGTTTTATAAATTGTGGCTAATTCCCAGTATATATAAAATATATATTTATATTATTTTAAGTCATACAAATACTAAATTTTACAAAAAAAAATCAATGTCTGCTCATCAAATGTTCCTATCATACATTTATATCTTCAACACAAACATTAACAGTATTATCAATAAGAATGTTGCGTTATATCTAAATAAGCGAAATGAACTAAAAAGACACCTTGCTTACAACCAACAGCTTACGGAAAAGTATTGTTCCACATACCAACAATTACAATAACAAATATATAAACCATAACAAATATATAAACCATACATAAAAACTACAAAAAATCAGTATTATGTGAATTATAATAGTTCAAAAAGTTTGGCACTTTCAAAAACTAAAACAGAATTCATATGTAAATAAGTCCCACGATAAACCAGAATATATATTCTAATACTTTTCTGTCAGCTTGACAGCTTGATTTTCAAAAAAAAATGATATTGACTATTCCATGAAGATTTATGTACGGACAGCTCATAGCTTTTGAAATGTCATCCATGATTTCTTTCGTTTAAACCTTTCTTTTAAACCAATGTAACCCTTAAGAAAAATGTCACACGTGGAATGTATGTTTTGATAAATACACTGTTCTCCTCACCACCAAGTATCCATTTCTTTCATTTGGACGTGACTGTGGCATTTGTCAATTTACATGTACAAAGATTTCCTTTTCCATCCTAAGCAGGACTACTAATCTTATAAACAAATCCTAACTAGATAATGGTCACAAAACAAATGTTCAATAGATGTTTCTATGTTATACCAAATACACGAAAAAGATGTTTATTACATCATCATAAAATGATATTATGATTCATTTTGGCAAAACTGCTGGTCACTGGTATGTTCTAGTTATTGTTACTCTCCGTTTCATGTAATGTATTTTATCCTATTGAATCACGCATCGGGAATCACGAGCATTTGAACCAGGCAAAGAATTCAAATTTGTCCGAGTTTGTGCAACCAAAAGATCCGTCCTTATACTTGGGCGGCGAACATTTGGTGCAATTGCTCCACAGGCGTCGCTCATTTTACGTCGGATAGACACACCTTTACGATTAGGGTTTGCGGCACTGTTACTAATATATGACGGATTCACTTTACGGTGTAAAGCCGGGCTCATCTCCGTTGGTAGTTTAGCAAGTTTAAATAAGCGAACGAATATATCTTCGATGTTTACATTCTTTTTGGCAGATGTTTCAATAAAATCAGCTTGCTGTTGACCTGCGATGAGGGCTTGAGGCTCAGAAGGGTCGATTACTCTATCTTTTTCTCTGTCACACTTATTACCCACTAGTATCATAGGTGTATACATTGTTTTTCTGTTCGCAGATCCAAGTTTACACTGACTTTTACACTCAATTATCTGGTTCCGAAGTCTGGTTACCTCTTCAAACGATTCTCTGTTTGAAATACAGTAGACTAGAATAAACAGATCACCTGTGAAATAAAGAATAAATTGTTTTTAGATACATGTATTTAGAACTTGTTCACAACAAACAATATATAGTTTATTAGATGACTGGATTGTTTTTATGTTGAATTCTTCCGCGTGTTGCAGTCAATAACATGTGATCGATCAACATTTGCTTTTTTGTAATAATGCTGGTGTAACGCCCGGTTTAGTTCACGAGTCGGTTATTTATTATTTTGTTTAGTTGAATTTTAATTAACAACATTACTTTAAAAGTTCATGCGGTGACTTTCAAGCTTTATTGCTTTATTGGCGAGTTGCCCCTCCGTGACTTATTTTAAGCACGAGCGGGCACTTTAATCATCTGTTGATGCGATTCTTATGCGACGATCAGGAAAACATTTTCATTGTGACACTTCCATCCAGTGACGTGATGTGGTGAGTCACCATAGCTGGATACTAATATAAAGATTACTTAAAACATATTATCATTATTAATTCATATATATTTAATTGTGATGTTTAATAGTTAAGATAAGTCTAGTAAGCAAAACTTAGTCTGACATTTATTTTGTTTGCTTGTTGTTTTGTTTTTCTTTGAGTTCATTGTAATTACAACATTTATTATACGAATCAAGTTTTAGTTTCTTTAACGTTTTTATTTGATCTTTGATCTCGATATTATTTTGATTTAATGCCATTTAGCATGTCCCTTAATCGCAATAAAAAGTTATTCTATTATATTCTAATATTCATAAGCATTAACATAATACGTTTGCAAGCGCCAGAAGTGAGAAATGTTTTTAAAGATTTTGTCATGCTCTTAGTTGAAATATATATCCTATTTGTAGTTGCAAAAATACTACAAAAGTGTATTTTACATCTTTTAAAAGAAAAGAAATGAGCCGTGTCACGACAAAACCAACAAAGTGCGTTTGCGACCAGCATGGATCAAGACCAGCCTGCGCAGTCGCTAAGTCCGATCAGGATCCATGCTGTTCGCTTTCAGTTTCTCTACTTGTTATAGGGTTTGTAAGCGAACAGCATGGATCCTGATCAGACTGCGCGGATGCGCAGGCTGGTCTGGATCCATGCTGGTCGCAAACCCATTATGTTGGTTTTGTCATGGCGCGGCTCAAATAAATATACTGGAAGTAAATCAAGGGAATATAGCATGATTAATGATAAACATAAATGTAAATTTTGTTTAGCTTCCGTAACACTTATCAGCAAATATTCGATTTATAACTGCAGTAATACGCTGTGATAACATTCATATTAATCATATATTTCTTTTTAAATTTCGTCGCGTGACAACATTGGCTGCCAAACTGTCATTGTGGTCTCACTCTTTCTACAATCAGTTAAAACCAATATCGTTATAAACATGCCATCTCCCGGTAAAAGCAGAAAAAAACAAGGACAGGAAATAGAGACGAGCTAATGCTTATGAAATGGGAAAAAAGAGTGTTGCTTAGAAAGAAAGGCAATAATTCCAATATGAGGATGTTCTACTGTTTTGACAACGCGTTTCTTGCAGATACATAAGGAAAATTCGATCAGCTCATTTTATCCGCAGGAAGAGTGTTGATGTCAGATTTTCATTCGGTTTTGATGATTGTGCGATATTAATTTTAGGTATACTATATATACAAGTTCTTTGATGAATGGTCAATATATTATAATTGTTTTTCTTCTAAACATCTATCCAATCCAAAATTTCTTTTGTGCATAAATCAATTCAATTAGACAAACTCCTATATTTTTTTCTTTTTGCTGGTTTAAATTTTCTTCCTTTTTTCTGCAAGAATTTAAGAAAATATATAATCAGGAAACGTCATTTTTAGCATCGGAGAAAAATAATGATGCACTGTAATATGACTAAGCACATAACTTAATATAACATCGATAAGCACACGAGTATGGAACATTTGATGGAACATTTGATGGAACATATGATTAAATCTGGAAAACAACCATTTTGGTACATTTGTTAAGTTTCATTTAATCTAAACAAATAAAGTTTACAGGCAGCAACTTCGACGTTTAATGATACGAAGCCGTACCATCAACTGTTATTACATTTATCCACGATAAGATATGGGACTGTAATTACGAAATCGAACACCGATATTTTCCCTTTTACAGTCATTTTACAGACAGGAAATAACAGAAACGGCTCATTATATAATGGTAATCAGACAATATTTCGTAAACAAAATGTTCTTGATAGAAATATTGACAGTTTTACTTGAGAACCGGATAATGTTTCAAATGATACAACCAAGGCATTGAGTGCGAGTCACAGTCGTGCGTTCTATGAAAAAAGAAAGGTATTAATAGAGAACTTTTGTCTAACAAAAACAGTGTTTACTATGTATACAAAACAGCAATTTTATTTAATGCTTAATTATTCGTATACAAAAACCTAATTAAAGATCAATTAAGGCGTTGAATTATTAAAAGTTCGTTTGATTTCTTTTTCAGCATACTAATCTATTTAGAGGATATTTTCTAGAAAATTCAATGACTATGGACCTGCATTTTGAAAATTATTTACCAAAAAACTTAACGTTCTTACAGTAAAGTAATATGAACAAGAATCTGGAAAGTGTTTGGTGTAATTTAAAGCTCATTGCATTTTAATGTAAGAAAGTTTAGTTTTATCAATTTTCCTTTAAATATGTGCACACAAAGATTATATCTACTCGATTTTATTTTTGTACAGTTAACATTTTTCATAAATTCACAATATTATAAGTTTGGAAAACCGGCAAAAATTATTTGTCCATATTCTGCTGACTCGTGCAGATTTTGTTCATTTTATTTATAAAGATAATGACAAAAAAGGTTCTCTAAATGTTTAATGATTACTTTCTTAAATATCTCGTGCTAGGGATGATGATGGTATTCCATAACCTCTCTGCCGCCTTTGAACACCCTCAGGGCCAGGAAATTTTGATTATGACATACTTGTACATTTTATCTGAAGCATTTCTTAACTTGTCTATATGATTTTTCTGGAAAAAAAACTTTACTTGTCGAAAAGCATGGGGGAGGAAGTATTACACGAGGGAAGGAGTTCTTATGATAACTTGTCAAGGAGTTCTTGTGATAACTGTCACGGAGTTCGTCGGAAAACCTATTGTATATACTGCAAAACACTCGTCAAAAATGGTAATTTTCATCGTTAAAAATTAATTTTAGGTGCTATATTAAACGTTAATGATTAAGCTTGCCTTATATATTCTATTATGTGTCAAAAACTAATAAATAATAATTTTTTCATCGCCTCTTGCTTAAAATCTTGTAGTTTTGAGTAAATCTTTCAAATTATTGCCAATTCGCAAGTATTGGCCTGTTTATTTCAAGACTTCATCCTTGCCATACATAATTACCTAATTGTAATGCAAAATTGCAAACATAAAGACCCGGCTAACAAATTTATACCCGATTTTTCAAATGTCCCGGAGTTCTTGTGATACCTAAAAATATGTCCTGGAGTTCTAATGATAACTTTTGTTACTGCCAATGTGTTTCTTGCGCTAAATCACGGCACGTTTTAGCGTTTTTTATTATTCGATAAGGTTGTAAATACTCATGAAATATAGTACGCTCATCCTTTGCACAAAAATGTGGATATATTGTTGGTCTTGATCGTGTGTCTGCAAAGGATAAACAGGTGATAGGCTACCATCTACAGTAAAGATTGAATCAGCGGCAGTATCATGGCCTAAACTACAAAACAAAAATTCTCATAACTTACACGTTGTTCTTAAACACCTTTTTTAAGCAGATAATATATAGTTGTGCATCGCTCATCTAAGGGCTAAGTAATTTGTATCATTTTATACCCTAATAAAGAAGTACATGTATGAAACCAGGATAACTTCTTTAAACCTATGTTTCCAAAAAGTACGACAATATGAAAAAAACTCATTTTGATTGGTTCTATAACTACCGATCTCCCGAACAAATTAGCAAGTCCCTCCGGGCTCAAACGAAATAAGTTTGACTAAAATATATTTTTTATCAATTACAGCAAAATTAACAGACTTTCCGCCACTAAGATTACATATGGGAAATACCCATCAAACATCGGCAGAAAAATATACATGAAGACACCATACATGAGCGCATTTTATCATGAAAGTCAATGTTCTACATCAATCCTTTTTCCAGTCTACGAAATTTGCGTCAGCAAAAATACCATAAAATAGAAACGGGGATAAGATATATCAGTAAAATCTCTTTATCTAAAATACACTCAAAACAAACATTGTATATCCTCATTGTTGTGCAAAAAATGAGCGTACTACATTTCATGATGATTAACAACCTTACTGAATAATAAAAAACGCTAAAACATGCCGTGATTTAGCGCAAGAAACACATTGGCAGTAACAAAAGTTATCATAAAAACTCCAGGACATATTTTGAGTTATCACAAGAACTCCGGGACATTTAAAAAATCGGGTATAGATTTATTAGCCGGGGCTTAATGTTTGCAATTTTGCATTATATTTATGTAATTATGTATGGTAAGGATGAAGACTTGAAATAAACAGGTCAATACTTGCGAAATGGCAAATAATTTGGAAATTTACTAAAAACTACCAGATATTTAGCAAGAGGCGATGAAAAATGAACTATGAATTAGTTTTTGACACATAATGCAATGAGTAAGGCAAGCTTAATCATTAAAGATTAATTTAGCACCTAAAACTCACTTTTTAAAGATAAAAAGTATCATTTTTGACGAGTGTTTTTGCAGTATAAACAATAGTTTTCCGACGAAATCCTTGAGTTATCACAAGAACTCCTTGACAAGATATCATGTTGATCCACCTTTAAGGTTATTAATATTTTGCTTGTAATTGTAGAAAAATGTTTTGTTATTTGAAACTATGAACTATCAAAAAACGTGTTGTTATCATTTGCACAGATTTAAGCAATTAATTATCCGTGGAATATGCAATAATATTGTTATGCAAGAAGATCGTTTCAGCCAAGGCAATTATCTTGCAATATCATCAGGCGCCCATCTCTCCTGCCTTTCAGTTTATTTTTGCGGCTTTCCGTGTATTTGAAATATTTCTCTGACAGAAAAATGGAATATTGATCCGGACGTTTCAAGTCAGTTTTTGTATTATGTAAATAACAGTGAAAGCGAAATTGTAAAAATAATTTAGTGCAATTTTCCCGTGCATTATGTAAATTCCCGAGCAAATAGTATTATTTCAGTATGGAACTATTGTTAAAAAGAAAGCAAGTCCTCCGGAATTATATATCTTTTTGTTTGAAAATCGACTTGAAGAATATATAAATAAATGTGTTTTTGAAGTTTTTTTTAATGTAAGTTCAAAGAGAAAAGAGAAAATATGATGAATTTTAATGATCATACGTTGCACTCGTTTACTGATTTTTTTACTAGACAATTATTTAAAAATAAATATGTCTGCAAAGGACAAATAAAATTAAATTCTTTACAAGACCGTTCTAACAAAATATACTTCATTCAATATTATAAAAGTTTTACCTGTTATGAATGACAATCGTCTCATTGCCGGAAATGGATGATTGCCGGATGTGTCAAGAATGTCCAAACGATATGCCTCTCCCCGAATTTTATAAATTTTCCGATGAAAATCCTCAATAGTAGGTGTATATGTCTCGTCATACTTGTTATTCAGAAATCTAGAAACAATCGAAGTTTTTCCAACTTTGCTTGATCCCAGCACAACAAGTCGTCTGCAGTTCTCATCAGGCGCATTCTCACCCTGCTCCACGAGAGCCATATCCGGAGTCGATGGTACAGAGCCTGTCCAGCACAGGCACTTTGTCGTCACAGAGTCTCTACTGTCGTCTTGCAGTGACAAACTCCAAGGGCGACTGCAAAATGACAGAGTATTCATTATCTAATGTCTATCTCTCGTTAATTATTAGGTTTACTGCTGCTTATCGATTGGGGCTTTCATTTCCTTAATTATGTTTCTTGCAATAATATAAAAAATATACATCGCATATTTATTTCATTTGCGACAGTTTCGATCATACTATCAACTAATTAGGCTTTAGAACAGCGAACAGGTTCTATCGAGACAAAATAAAGCTTTTATTTTATACAAAGTGCATCGGAAATGAAATTTTCGCAGACCTTATTATTCCTTTGATGGTATTTATGTATCCGCCAATCAAATCCTAGAACATTCTCATAATGTAAAACCTTCACAACAAAGTTATCCGATCTTTCAATATGCATTTGTGGTTGTCCTTTGTTATACAATCTAGTAACCTAATAACACACTTATTCAAACTGTTCATTTATTCTCATATCAATTCTGGCGTCTAGAGTTCCAAGAATGTAAATGAGAGATTGAATTATGTCTCCATATGATTTAAAACACAAATGATAGAAATATTTTGCTACATAAAGTATATTTGCATCAGATGCTTGAAATAAAAGTGAGCACAATTTTACAAAATTCTGATATAAAAAAAAACTAAAAATCGCAGAATTCATTATACCATTATCCTTTTTTATATTTTTTTGTTTCAAATGCGGTTTTAAAAAAATGTCTCCTTAAGGATATTTACTATTGAATCAAGCTGTCTATTATAGTAAAATAATTCAGTAAAGCAAATTTATACAAGGTTAAATCAGTTCCGTGGTCGCAGTATTGGAAAATGTCACAATCTACAGCATTCCAGAATTTGTCGTCTGCTACTAATACAGTGCGTTTGTTCAGATTCTATGATTCCCACCGGCATAGGCAAAAAATGACGAATGGGCTGTCGGTGCGTGTTAAGATATTTGGAATGTTAATTTTCCTGATTGAAGTGTATAGTGGCTTCCTCCTTTTATTTAAATAGAATAAAAACACACTTATTCAAACATATTTTTCTGCTCTACTATCACATTGTTCTTTTAAAAAAATCTAAAATTTCAAAATTTGACAGTCACAGAAAATGAAAAAACTGGAAAATGAGACAGCAAATCAAAGTAAAAAAAAAACAAAAAATAATTTCAACACATCCTTTTACGCAACGTCAATAAAATGTTTTGTAAAATGTATTAAAACAAAGCAAGGTATTTTGACGTGAGTGAAGTGAGTTATAGAATAATAGAAGAAAATGGAAAGCGAAAAATTAATTATAGCTCATACATTAACAAGAACAAACTCGTCAGAATATATTTTGATGCTTGCTTTACAAATTCTGAGTATGCTTTGCATAAATCAAACGTGCGCTAGTTCATTAAGTCTTGTCACTGCTTACATACAATCACAATACATTTGTGAAATATAACAATAAATAACACGTATGTTCCAATACTACGATAACAGTTATTATCCTTGTGCATGGAAATTATTCTCAAAGTACATAAGGAAATCGTGAAATAGAGGACACGTGTGACCTTTAAGTTAATATATAGAGATAAAATCTGTCCAGAATAGCTATCCACAAATATTGGTATGTTTTAACAATAAAACACAATATTAAGAGTAACTAACCTATTGGTACAAAAAATGCATGTAAAACATTTAAGGACAATGTTCAGATATAATAATGTCAATATTTAAGATAAACAGATAGCTTGCTAAGGAAGGAAATTAGTCTATTATACAATGACAGCTTACAGACATAATTATTGACTATAGAGTTAAAATTTCAGGTTATTGCCTTTGCAAATTAATCTCGTATATGGACATTAATTGAAATCAATAAGTTTTCCTTTCTTATGATAGTTTAGTAAATATCAAGGAATAGTGTTGTTATGACATGGTAATAGCAAGTTCAGAAATGTTATGTGTCTTTCAGATTTTTAAAGGTCACTAACCTTAATATGTTTTCTCTAGGGAGATTTTTTTTTTTTTTGAAATGATGTGTTACTTGGTGGAAATGTGTTGGTTATTTAAAAAAAACATATCGTGAACAGCAGTTAAAGCGTTATCCGTGTCAAAGTATTTCAATTGTGGTTTTCTGCAAGTAAGCAAGAACATTTAAAATGAATTTGATTTAAGCAATAAAAACAGTGTGATTTTTCAAATAGGCAGTTTTTTTATTGTTAGAAGTAAATGTACATACACAATAAGGCCAACATTTGTAATTGACGAATGAATAAAGCGGCCCAAAAGTACTATTAGTTTGTCACTTATCCAACTTTACCAGTTTTGTCATCAACAGAACATTGTAACAGCGAATGACAATCGCGATAAAATATAGTATGAATGTTCTATATGTATTGAATGTTCTATAGATAAGATTTAAGATGACTTCTTAAGGCGATCGAATCGGAAATAGTATGACCTTAACGTTAAATAGATTTAATTGACACCGTAATGCTTGGAATTGAAATTTTTTCTTGGGGAAGTTTGTATAAGTTTACAATACCTATATTGCCTTAATGCTTGCATTTATACTTGCAGGATAATTTAGCTTGAAAAGAAGGGTAAGTTTCAGCATGTTTATCAGTTTCTGTCGATAGATTCAAGTAATTAACATTCTCATGTGATGCCGACAGAAGCAATCACAGCTATCTGTGAGATTAAAAGATAGTATTGACAATCGATGCGTACCAATTGTTTACCATGGTTATGCAGAATTAATTAACAAATATTGTACCGTTATAAACAGCAGTATATATCTTTATGTACATTCATTACTTCTGTATCATAAAATAACGTTAACATGTTATTTATTCAAAACAAGAAAACAGACTTGGTTACAAAATCTAGTAAATATATGTCTAATTGTTCGCGGTGTTTACTTAACACTGCAGAACTGTTCAAATTATTCAGTAGAAGGTAAATCATTCTAAAAATCAGCTTATAAAATTGATGAAATATTATGCTTCTTAGTTAGCACTTTTAGACGTACTAGATCTACAGAGAAAGGGAAAACGTCATTGATATGGGAACAAATGAGCTATGCACGGTGTACTAAGTTTTCGATCGATACAAAATCATATTACTGTGTAACAAGATTTCCAAAGAAGTCGCATTTTGTATTAATCAAATGATTAATTCTTATGAAGAAGTTTTGTTTCAAATACTGAGTACCGGTAAAAATACAAAATAATGTCAAGATGCTCATGGTCAAACACTTTGACACCTGTTTTTTTTACAATGGAAGAAATTATTGAAACGGATGGGGTTCATTATCCTTCATACAAACTTAAAGAATATTTTTTATCGTAACGTTAGGTATCAAATGTCCAAAATATGGAGTTCGTATGTTGTAAAGTTGCAAATATAATAAACGTGTTACACAGTATTAAATATCAAAAGCAAAATCAACAAGGAAGGGAGCAAATTCAATGAACGCATCCCCTAACACATGACCACCCGGCAAGGAGCCCAGCAGGACACCAAAAACAGGATAGAATACGCAGATAAAAATCGTACAGGATGTCATTATGAAACAGAAATCATTGAAACCTACAAGGTAATTAAAGATGAAAATTATAAGGGGGAAGAGCCAGAAGTATAGGGTAGGGTTGGAGTAAAATTTAAATTTCTAAGGGAAAGGGGAGATACTTAGTGTAGACGAAATAACAAGAAGTGACACAAAAGTGTCACCACAATTGTATGTAACAATAAACACGTCATATATCTGAGGAATACAGAGGGTCGCCGCCTTGGAATGGTCAGCAGCATAAGCACTGCTGGGGAGTTATAACTGGTTAATGGTGCACCAAACCTCACTCTTAGCCCCAATATTTTTCTTTTAAACAAGACAGTGTAAATGAAATAAATCCCGGTTTTTTCTATAGTCAGAAGTATATGTTTGGTACATTCAAAATAAATAAAATAAAAAGATTCGGTTAATCTTAATTTTGATTCAATTTGAAGAATGGTACTGTACTCGTTGAAAAATAAATATTAATTTAAAACTTCTGAAGATTGCGGTTACATTAAACTGTTACAAAATAATGTAATAGAGAAAGATAATGATAAAAACAAACGCCTTCCTGGTAAAGGAATGTTGTCGTCGATTTGTATAAAACATTATGAAATTGATTTCGTTTATTTGTATGCAAGGAACTTTTTCTCATTATATGCGGGTCGTATTCACATTTTGGTGTGCAATTTTCTTCAGTTGTTTATAATTCAATAAACATTGGTATGCTCTTAGAAAATTTTGAAGTTAATCTGAATTACCATTTTGACATTTCCATTTGCAGTAACGTTAATTAAGCTTCAAATGCATTTAGTGATGAATGTGGGCGAATTTTATATCTTTGACATTTCAAATCAAATATCATTGTTCAACTATCAAAGAGAAATTACTTCTAAATGGCTGCTTACCTAATTTGTTGAAACAGTCGTAAGTTTAAAAGTTGAAATTCCCTTTTGTTCATTCATTTTTTTCTGATTTTTAGATAATTCAATCATCAATTCAATGAGGTGCTTATATACTTATACTTATTGGTAAAAAAGTTAACAGAATAATCAAAACGTCCAGATGCTTCATGTTGATTAGATCTGATAATTGCTTATTTGGAAATGTGTATCCTTTAAGCTCCATGCAGCCAATTATTGGATGATGTATCTTTACAATTTTTAATCATTTACAGTAACGTTTACCTCTATAATCTGACAGTTTTAATTCAAGTTTATTATAAACATTAGCATGTATACCTTTTGATTCTGACAATTTATGATTTGATTTTATGCCAAAGGATTCAAATTTGATCTAGTTCTAGGTTTGACTCGCTTATTTTGAGACAAAAACTAAACGGAATTGGAATCTGTAACATGTGCTTTTTAAAATTGAAAATTGGATTTTTTCTTGAATGTTGAGCATGCTGCAGAGAGTACTAAAAGTGTGCTATTTAATATACAAATAACACGAAATCGTGAAGTTCTAATTTGAATTAAAAACAAAAAGCTATGTGTTGTATATACAGAGTTGTTATCTTATATTAGAACGGTTAAAGAATACCTAGCCTTATGTAAATTTAGACTGAAATGAAATTTTGAAGTTCAAAATCAACCAATCTATGTGACATGATTTTTGTAAACGTTATAAAGAAGTATTTAATACGTTGTCGTTTAATTGCTTTAAGGCCTATTTTCATAACATTAAATGGCATATGTGTATACATATTGTGTTATATAACGTTAGGTTCCATCTCGACTTTATGTGATAGGAAATCATAGATAGATAAGTTTGTTTGTTTGTTTGTTTAATTTGGTTTTACGTCACACCGACACAGTATAGGTCATATGGTGACGTTCCAGCCCTTACTGGTGGAGGAAGACATCAGATGCCCTTCATGCATTTTTTTTCAGGTACAAACGGGCACCTGAGTAGAACCACCGTCGTTCCGTAAGCTACCTCACATGGAGGAATCCAAAGTACCTGTCGGATTCGAACCCACAGCAGTGAGGGGCATCGATAGATAAGTGAATGTTAACTAAACGAAACATGGTAAAAATGTAGGCATAAACATAAATTACAATGGCAATTTGTATGTAATATTGTTGTCATGGTTATGATATATGACTTTTTTGAAATTGTCATGCACCATTTCAGAATAGAAAATAAATATTTGTTAAGTTTCATGATGATTTATGAAAAAATAAAATGGAACCTAATAACATGGGAAACAATAAGTAGATTAAAAAGCTTCAAATTCCTTTACAAAAAGCATATAATGTTATGGTTATGAATAGAAAACTATAGGTGATAATTACGTAATACACTTGTAGCGATTAAATCAAATTTAACTAATTGATCACGTCGAATGAATTTTCTAAGACAGCAAATGCGTGTAAAACAACAATTATGTTACAAATAAATTGCCCTACCTTCTTGCAGTAACTAGTGGGTAATAAAAATCGCAAGAAGATGGCATGATATCGCCAGGTAATTTCACCTTTCCTTTGGAGAAAAACAGAAATTAAAGTCCTGATATATGCCACAAAATAAAAGTTCGAATTTGTTTCAGAATTGTAGAAATAAAACTTAGGCACAGAGCATGGCTGTCAACAAACTTTGGAAAACAAAATATGTGGTAGTGGCTTTATATTGAATTGTTTGACGTCAATAAACGAAACCGGTGTTTACTTTAAATGTTCTCTTGTATAACATCTGGTAGGTGCTTTACATCAGAACCCGGTATTTTTTCAGGTTGTAGAGAACAATTCAATAAAAAGGTGAGTTTATGTGTATAAAAATAGATATATACGTATTAGTAACATGTTATTTAGGGTTAAAATAACAACATTAGGATGTATATGATGCCAGCAAACAAGTTGATTCTTTTCAAAACAGACTAACATTACTTTTGTGTCGTGATGAAAAAATCGTATTTTACTTTTGAGTGATATTCAAAGATTTCCATTCTCTATTTTCTCTCACGTTTATGATAATACAATGCACATATCAGAAGTGCAGGGTATTTATTTGATATACAAAATTAATACACATATCATAGTTGTGACAGTATTACTCTAAACATCAAAGATGTACCTGTATTGAAAATAATCCTACTGTAAATATTTGTATTAACAAAAGTACAAAAAAGTATTATAGCGAAAAATGTATAAAATATTTTATTGGGTTGAATTATTATAAAGCTTAAAATAAAACATATTTTATAACTAGGTGAATGACACAAAATCCCGATAGTTTAAAAAGAGTCAACATTTACATGTAGTTAAAACTACAAGAAAAAAATTGTTATGACAAGATGAATGTGCGACATTTATATAAATGACAATTTGTCAGTAATTAAAGCAGCACTTTTGTCACTTTAAAAAGTTGACGGTACAAAAGGTAAATAGAATGTTACAAGTCTCTGTATCAATATCAAACATAAAGAAATCTGACGACTTACAGATAGGTGTATCTCCAACGGATGAATTGTCATAAATACTTTTGAATTTCACTATTTACTGCCTTTTAAGATGTTATTTAAATCGGATTGTGAGTTATTTATCAATATAATGTTTATCAAAATAATCGTGAAAAACAATACGTGTGTTGTCGAGATAACATCAATTTCTGCTTGAGGGCGATGGTTCGAGTTTAATGGTTCATTAGATATGTAAATCTGTACATGTTTATTATTTTACGTGTATTTGATAAGATAGTTGCCGAATTTTAGCTCTTTTGACAAAATGTCCCTGATATTTACCATAATTAACTACACCTTGAAAAAAGTGGCAGCCATTTGTGGAGTCATTGTTCGACAAAATATGAAATAACCAAACAAAAATGAACAGACGAATAATGTGTATTGTCACATTTTCATAATCGTGTTATAGCAAGCTTTTCCAGCTTACATAAAGATGATGTAATATGATGTATTCTTGACCGTACAATATATCAGATATGTCCCTCAGAATTGTGACCAGGAGAACTAATACATGTTACATGAAAAGTATCAGTGCCAGAGTGTATCCAACGAAAGTTTTACAATTCAATTTTTTTATCAGTTTTGCTAGTGAATTCGTCTGAATTAATGCCATTTAAATCGTGATGTCAATATCTCTAGGCATGTTTTCATTATTTAAAATAACTCAATAACATAACTACAAATAATAAATTGTTTTCCCTGTTGACTTACATTATATGTTGATGTGACTTATTTTTTGTTGTTTGTTAACTTTGTTATTGAAAAAAATTGTCAAGTTAACTAGTCGCATTTTTTTACTTCTGATGTTTTTGTTGTTTATTATGTTGATTTTTTCGAGGGGATGTTTTATTTTTTATTGTTGTTGTTGTTGTTGTTTTTTGTAATAAGGGATGTTGCTTCGTATAACAGCATAACATTATTCATGTGTTTTTGGAATCTTAAGTTCCTACTATTCAATTAATTTATCATAATATATTACAGCCTGTTTACTATAAATCTATGTCATAATTTTGTCTAACATATATAAATATAACTGTAATGAAACAGCATCTCCTTTCAATACGTCACCTTAAGCTCGATTTATACTATCTTTATTTGCTATTGTTTAACAAAATATGCACTACTATTAGAAATTACGTACTTAAGTAGTTATAAACGAAAACTGTGTGCACTGTTGAGTCAAACGTTTTTGTGCAATATACACGACATATAAAGATATAAAGACAATCTTCCAAGGGAGTTGGATAAATACATGGGAGATTTAAGAAGAAAGTGTAGACATAATTGCCAAGTTTTAAGATAAACGGACCGCTTGCTAAGCCAGGAAATTAGCATCTTGTTCAACGACAGCTTATAGACATAAGTATTGATTTTAGTATCAGATCACTGCCTTACAGGAACTATTTTGTATATGAAACAATATTTGAAATCAATACATAATTGTTTCTTGATATTTTGAAAGATATAATGCTGTAAAATTGCACTTTTGGTAAGACTGTAAAAAAGCAAAGTTATTTTCTTTAAAGGGTATAGGTGTAAGTTATAAAAAAAAGGTTTATTTTTTCCGTTTTATTTCGACTTTTTTATTTAAGAAATTAATATTTTGATAGGTTATGCAGCATATCTTCTAATGTCAAAGCAAAAAATATAACATGGTTTATGGACATACCAAATCGTTTGAGGCTATATTCGTATCAGCTCTCGTCATAGAAATATGTGAAACAGCACAAAAATGGAATCTCTATAAAAATACACATAAAACACACATAACTGCAAAATTAATAATGTTAAAGGCTCGGTGTGATTTAGCCTGTTCATTGACAATAAATGGACTAATAAATGCAAGTTACCGTTCACTATCCCCTAGCACTGGCTTACTCGGGGACCATATGCCGCTTTTCATGGAATGGCACTAACGTCACATTGAAGGTTCCATGATAACCGCCATGTGAACACATCTGCGGATGTTTCAAAATTGCAAATTTTACAAGTTCATGTTAAATATGCTGAATACTGCTAAAGCCGGTTCTAGGGGGCGTGGACGGTAACTTGCACTTTTCATTACCTTCCAAAAGCAGGCTCAATCAAACCGAGTCTGCAGCATTTTGTCGTTTTTTGTCGTTTTGAGCGTTTTTTTAAGGTTTCTTTTAAGGTTTTTTTAAGCATCTGCAGATGTGATCATACAGTAGTTATAATAGAACCATTTATGTCATACTTCATAGAGTAATGAATAATTCTTTGTAATGATCATTTTTTCAAAATTTCTCCAAGCATCATTTCCTGCTGGCTGGTTGTTGGTTTTGTCTACGATATTGAAATGAAACCCATAGTTATTTTTCGGTTGAAATCATTGTCTGCTACACACACGCATGTAACCTAAGACTTATATCATTTTCGAGGGACTATGAAGTTTCAAATATAACCACTCTAAGAAGCATAGTGATTTCAGTGAACAATTAATATAGTTTGGTTGTTTTTCATCTTATGCCCGCATCCTGTTCATTTCGTTCAGTACAGCTATCAAATGTAGGCAAAGTGCAAAGTCTATGTAATCATATGATTGGTAATAGTTGTTATATGAATATGATATAAATAACAAATCGTTAATATTGAATAATATTGAATATGCTAGGGTAGCTAAACATGCTCAAAACAACTAATCAAATAGTTTCTTACAGAAATCCGCATTGATTTACATTTATAGGCTTTGAATTTTATCGACTAAACAACAAATGTCACAGTGACTTTATCAATTCAGTTTCCATCTGCTCGCTATAAATCCTGATACCCAGCAAAACATGTATTTAAGACATTGAAATATGCTGTAATATATTTCGGTATAAATAACGGATTTTTGAAAGTGAGAAAAACAACGCCATCAGTTTTACGCGACATATCAATACATATCTTCACGGAATAGAGTCCTATCTAACGTCCAGCCAAACAAAGACCAACGAACAGAAATGGGACATAAATGGAAAGGATTGTCTTTATTGCGTAAAAAACCGGATGTATTGTCATTCTTTAAATATTTGGGAATATACCTTTGAAAATCGGTCGCAAATGCAGAACTTGTATCAAAATCACTGTAATATATTGTTTGCTACCCTTCATCAATACTAGTCAAAAGATAAGATTTTGTCATTAGACCCAAATATCTGATAACATGATGAGCCGTCAAAAGCAATGACAACAAAAATAAAATGATGAAAGTTGCAGCCTCGGTTTGATTGAATGTTCAGGTGATTATCAGAGTATGTTGTTATTTGGTACTTGTGTTCCGACAGATATTTTAGTAAATATTTAAATATTCTGGAAAGAGAATTCCCTCTAGAAAAATTAAATAAAAAAATATTAAAGTATAAAATTAAAGACTTTACTCACTAACCACAAAAATAAACATATTACAGTAATAATTGTCGTATTCATCATATAAACTTTAATTTAATGCTATTGATCAATCAATTTTGTGATGAAGTTATGGCAAAAGTCATACAAATCAAATCAAATTATATTGATTAAATGTCAGATACCACATTCTCATTTTATAACACACTCAAATAACATTTGAAGAGACTAGATCGAATAGACTCAATACAATATTATACAGCAATATTTAAAACACTGTGTTTGTTTTGATCAATGATTCTTTATGGAGATTTTTGGTTGAAATGGTTAAAATGACATACAGATGTAAAAGGTCTAAAATAAAGATGATGTTTCCTTTTATTTGGCATGTTGAGACGTTGAATACAAATACGTACAAGACAAACACAGTTTGCTAATGACAGCATTGATACTGAACAATAAAGTAAATAAAACTAAATGCAAAACAAAATATATGACAAGACAATGCATTTATTCAATTACATATAAAGGTCTTTTGTCACTATAAAAGGTGTCAGATATGCTCTTTTACTTATTCAAAAATTAGAAAACAAACTCTTTTTTAGTTGTATATGAAGTACACAATATGTTAGCTACCGGTACATATCAATGTAATGTCAAAGATTCAGGAGCTTTCATAAAATGCTTCGTATACAGCAATTATATACAGCAACGTATATTCTTAAGTATACAGCAATCAAAATACAATTACGTTTACATTTGAT